TGAGTATATGTGTGCAGTCGTGTCCATCTTATAATACGTGCAAATACTGGTGGAGTAGTGTATGGTATGTATGGATGTGAAGCAAAAACATTGCATTCATATGCAGTTCACTCACTATAACCAGAAAAACAGAGTCTGTTGTCAAACATACACTCAATCGGTATTATGGAGTGAGCGCTACAGCCGTTCACTCCATTAGAGCACTGGGAGGGCATCTACTGTACGGCAGGGCAGTCATCGGGAGGTAAGACCAGTGAATGACTCATTGCGCACAACCAGTTCCCACACAATACAAGCCTCACTCCACTTCATTACATCCATTGCCTCTGTGGCCCCATTCGCACACTCGTGTGTGGGCGCCGGTAGGCAATCACATATCCCCTACTTTATACACTAAATCACTCACTACCTCACCATATAGTGAACAAACAATCGCGATATTAGGTAACATTGAGTACAAGATAAATAAATTTACATTTTTAATACGAGTTAACATTAATTTATTATAATATAACGTATGATACGTACAAAATAGCATACATTTTGCACATTAGTCTGATATAACATTATAATGAATTCAATCAGTGATGTAATGACTGCCAGTATAAACACAATGAACACTAACACAATGGCCCGCAATCAGGAGTGGGGGCCCACGTGTTGAAAGCCCTGCACCAACTGCTCGCACTCGTGCTGGTACTGACACTTCGGGATGTGCTCCAAGCGCTCGATGAAGTTCGTGATCGTGAGAGTTGTGTCCAAATTCTTGGCGTGAATCCAGACGCGACCGTTCAGTCCGCACGTGATCTCAAACTTGTATTTCTGGCCCAACGTCTGGATGAGCCGCGAGTCGGGCGCCAACAGTCGGCGCACTATATTCGTGGGCACTGTTAGCACATAACCCGCGGACGACAACACTCCCAGACCTCCACTCTTGTTATTGCTGCCGACGCACACCAACTCGGCCTCAATGTCCGGACAGTCGGTCACGATCTGCGCGTACACCGCGTCCCCTACCTATGGGTCAGACAAACGGTGGGATTAGACACGAGATTAGAGACGGGATTGAGTGGTCAGGGATGCGACACAGACCTCGATGGCCGGCTTATTGCGTTTGGTTGCCTGCGGGAAGGCCAGGAGGGAGAGTACGGCGGCCTCATTGGTGCCGATGTCCACTTTGCACTGATAGGCCTGTTTGCTGACCACGAAGCCGATGACGCGGTCGCCTTTGGTCGACACATACCTCTTGGAGTGGTTGTCCACCCAAAACCTCTTGTCCTCGCGGTTCACGAGTTGTCCGCACTTCACGGCCACAAACCGGTTGTTGGGTTCGCGCTTCAGTCCGGGCCCTATCATCAGCTGACAGACCACTTCCTCTGCGCCTCCTTTGCGGCCACTCTTCGGCCCACTCTTGGCTGCGGTGATGTTGGCGCTCGTCTGCGCCCTCTCGAAGCACCGGTTGATTAGCGCCGTTATGTCGTCGCCGGGCAATAGTATGGATGACTCCGACATGTCTTCCTATGTCTCCTCAACACAAACTGTCAAACAATTTATAAATTGACCGCAAATTGAGTCCTAAATGGCGAGAGGCGTGTGAATCACATGTTTGCCACAAATGCACACAAATTGTCATCATTTGCTACATAAATAACGCAATGTTTGTCTGTTTTGTGAGAATTGTGAACTCATTTAGTTTACAAACTTGTTTTGCTAATTGAAGGACTCATTACTGTTTGATTAGTCATCAAATCATTGGTTTTGTTAATTCACAAAAGTATTACAATAATTGTTGAGC